CTGTTTGGTGCACATTAAAATGAAAAAAATATATTTTTTGAAGTGATGTGATGGGGAATATGTGGTTGAAAAAGAAGGAAAAGTTATTGATGTGATGAAAAATATTATTTTATTGAAAAATTTGTGGTTGAAAATGAGTAGAAGAATGAGAATGAAAAAAATAATGTGACCCAAACAGTGGCAGACTATAATTCCAAATTTTGACAAATAACAATCATATTTAGCCATAAATAAGATAGTTAGTAAATTTTGATAAAAGTTGATGAAATATACCGTTGAAAAATTGTTGATCCAATGACAATTACAATTAAAATTAAATATAAAGTTTGACTTAAAATTAAAATTAAATTTTAGTCTATAACAAATATGGGCTTAGATTCTTGTTCATCTCTGCAAATCTAAGTTTTGTATTCAACACCTTCTGTTCACCAATGCTCAAGTTGGAGATTAGCGAGAAAGAATTGAGTTGGACACGAGAGACGGCAGGGACATGGAGGCAGACATTAAGGGGATAAGTAAAATAAAGTAAAAAAGAAAAAAATAAGAAAAGAGAGAGAGAAAGAGGGAATGAAAATAAGATTACCAATGGTGGGAGTGTGTGGTGTGCACAATAATTAGACGTGTCAATTTGGGTGGTCCGGACCGGGTCGGTTCGTCAACATATGAGCTCGGTAACGACCCACGTGAAAAAAAGCTCACCCGCTTCGGGTTTCGGGTCGGTCCACAAATTTTGGACTACAACTCGGCCCGCCCGCTGACCCATCCGGGTCGAGCCCATGCGAGTTACGGGTCACGCGGGTCGCGGTTTCTTTCGATTTGGCCCGTATTATTTTATAAATAAAATTANAAAATTATAAAAATATAGAATTTTCATATTTATAGCAAAAATAATTTTTTTTTTTTTTTTGTTAAATGTAAACTAAAAATTGAACAAAATGATAAATTCATATTTATACCAAGAAATGTTTACATAGAATTCAAATTTAATGTTACATGAATTATTTATAACTTTGTGAAGTTAAATTTAACTTAAACAAATAACAACTAAATGCATTTCTAATTACTATTATCAAATATTTATAGTATAGTACATCTCAACTAGGTTGACACCTACTTTTGTTATAAGACGAAATTACACCCACAGAGGTTTTTAAAATACCATTTTCATA